AGATAAAACTTATTATAATATATTACATATTTATATAATTAATTTAAAAAAAATTTTTTTTAAAAATATTAATTATTCATAAAAGTAAATCAGAAGAGAATTTATAGTAAATAAGCAAGCAAATTTACCTGCGAAACCCTACAATCTAAGGGATAGATAAGTAATTATACTTTCTATAACTTGTAATTTCTTAATTTGTTCACAATTATTTGGGACTGTTTAACATCCCTATAAATATTACTCAATTAAATAAAGACAAAGTTATAAAAACTAATATAACAATATTGTTATAATCAAAAATTTAAATGTTTTGATAAAAAAGATATAATGTTGATATGTAGAAATGCTTTTCATTACAAATGTTTTGCAGAATAAAAAAATCAGTAAAATTATTGTTTAAAAAGAATGTTATCTTTAATGTAAAATCCTATATAAAAGATTAGAAAAATATGATAATATTAATAATACATTATTAGATGATAAAATATTAGATAATTAAAACAAAGAAAAGGAAGAAGAAAAATAAGTAATAGAAGAAAAATATTGGTATACTTTAAAAATACTTCAGAATTTATAATAACTTGATAAAATATATTTTAATATATATATATATTAATTAATAAAACTTTAAAACTTTAGCTCTTATCTAATTTTTGCTAAAGTAGAGATCACCAGATTATTTTTTTATTCTAGTGTAAAGAAAAAAATGATATAATAATGCAAAAAATAATTGCATAATGTTAAATTAGTTTTTTGAAAAAATGTAACATCTTTTTTTTATTACTTTTAAATCGATTACATCAAATGTTACACAATATAAAAAGATCGACATTTGATATTATCACCACGTGATATAACGAATGTCTTGAATATAGTAATTAATAGGTAATGATAATGGAGATTTAAAAATTAAAGTAAATGGTATGTTTTTATTATTATTTATAATTATACTTTTATTTTATTATATACAACATGTAAAAAAAAATTTGTAACAGTTTTATAAGGGTATTGTTAATTGCAATTCTTTCAGAGTTTATGGGTTACAGACAGCGTTTAAAGGTAAGCAGAAGGTTTTAATGTTTTTGTGTTTGATGTATTTTATTTATAATTACAGAGTTTCTAATCTAATACAACGTAGATAAAGTATTGCTTTCAACGTCAGTACTCTATACAATCAGGTACGTTATTACAATAAATCGTAAAGGGAAAGGAAATAAAATGAAGTCTTTATTATTAGAACGCGAATTTTAATATTGAACATATCGTTTATTCAAGAAAAATTCCGCCATATATATATAAATGATGATATTTTTGCATAATGGCCAGTAGACAATAATGGCTGGTGGACAATATTAAGATGTTCTATGTACATTGTACTAACTAAATGCTCATGTAATAAAATGATAATAAAAAATAATACTAATAAAATAATAATAAATAAATACTAATAATAAATTGAAACAAGTTTAAAATGAAGAAAATATTCTAGAAAGGGAAGCACTTATTCCTGTAGTAATAGATATAATATTTATATATATTTTTTATTTATGTATTCTTGAGCAATAAGTAAACGTTAACTATCATGAATACCACGAAATAGAAGTAATTAAATATGTCAAATCTGTTTTTGTATCTGTCTAAACTGCGAAATGCGTCTAAACGTCAGGATCAATGATTTAAAATGGAGAAACATGACAATTAATAAATTCTTTAATGATTTTTTTTTGCTATCTTAAATAATTCGAATGAAAATTAAATGCTATGAATCATCGTAACTGATCAAACCATCCTAATTTAGAAATTCTCACTATCAAAATAATTTTCTTAAAAACTATAAAATAAATATTTTTTTATTTTAAGGTTCTTTTTTTTATAGAACAAAAAATATTATTAAAGTCAAGTTTTTTACGCGCCCTGATTTCCTTGTTCTCCAATTTAATGACGAGGGTCACTTTTCGGATTGCATGGCTTTACATGCCTTCCTCGGTAGGACGCACTGGGAATCGTTCGTGACTATTAAACGTCATTATTATTTTGATCTGTCTCCTTTTGTTGCTTCATTGCAAAACAAACCTCTGTTTTATTGACCCTTTTCATTCACTTTTCTTTTTTAGAAAATTGTTCTTCACTTGCACGAATCAAACCGTGTTGCAAGCAATTATTGTGAGATTGGAATAATTAATTCCTCAATTGAGAGTATGCATTAATTTCTTTAATTGCGACGATGTATCAAAGTAATTTCTTCAGTTATGAGAGGAATCGGAATCAAGCATGAGTCATAACAACTTTCTGATCCAAGATATGTGAAAATAATTAAAATAATTATTATAAAAAAAAAATTTTTCAATTCCAACATTGGTTTTTATACATACAGTATCTCAAAATAGTTTATACGACCGAGGTCTTTTATTAATAAAATCTTACACAATTAGATATCACGTCACAAAAAAAAATATGTTCAAAAATTTGCTACGAAAATTCTATAGTGATTATGATTATGCACGAAAGCTAGAATGTGAGATTTAAATAAGTAATATTCCAAGGTGAGCTTGAATAATTCAATTATTCGAACGTATGCTTCAAAAAAAAAATGGTTTATATTAATGCTTTTTTTATCATCGATGAATGTATTTATTTGGTTCTCGTTAAACATACATGTACTTAGTTTAAATATAAATCCTTAACTCGAAGAAAAACTATTGAGTATGTGTACCGCATTTTCGTCTCTGTTCATTTCATATGAGAGAAAAAAAAATTTAGCGATGTTTATATAGAAAAATTACATAACCTTCTCGGCAAGAGTATTATTTTGCATTTTTCGTAAGTCACTCGAGCTGTCGAGTTTTTTAAATTTGTGCGAATCCTCAATGATTTTATTCCGTAAATTTTAATTGCAATATGAAGTAAATTACAACGCATTGCTCATTATGCATCGCCTCCAAATTATCCACGAATAATAATTCTTTAACAAAATATCATTATGAGATGTGCCCTTTCATTATGAAAAATTCATGGGAAATTAATTTCTATATTTTGCTAAAATTCGAAAATGTTTTATTTGTGGTCCATATTTCTGCAAAAATTTTACTGGAATGGAAACGATCGATATAAAGCTTCTTGTTTGTTAAGTTAGCAAAATTTTAATTCATTATTTTATTACTTTATATTATTATAATTTGAAAGTTAATAAGACATTTTGTTTTTATAAAATTAATTAAATTTATGATTATTAAGTCTAAAATCTTTAAATAATAAAATCTTCATAATGAACTTGAGAATAGAAAATAATAAATTTGTAATGAATAATAAAATTTGACCTACCGAACCGCAAACCTAAAAATCTATATACATGTCTATAGTTGGTGTTCTTCTGTTGAAGTAAATGTCTCTTAATCCTCAACAAATTGCATTTCTGAAGAACCTTTACTACCCTGTTTCGGTTTTAGCTGAAGCTTATGACTAATGTGTCTATTTTTCCTTCTTCGTTTGCGATTAATATAATAAATTGTGATTATTCCAATAATAAAAGCTATGATTATAGCCACACCAAAGGCAATTTTTGTTGAAGTTTCTTGAAAAAATCCTGGATGATCTTTGGATAGATTTGTCGTTGGTTCAGGTAGAGTATTTTCTGCGGCCGCAATGGTAACATCTTGGTAGGTTGTACCATGATCGAATGTTACCGTTTTTGTATCGTTGTCGTTTTCTTCAGACGTGTAGCGTTTTTCATGAGAACAACCTTCATCGATTTCATTATATTGGCACATAATTTAAACGATAAGAGAGAAAAATAATCAATGAACTTCTTTTGATATTTAACTTTTTTTCTCTTTTTTTATGAAAAATAAAGTTTTCTTATCACATTAGAAAAAAAAAAACATAATTAGTTTTTTTTATTGTTTATTTTTTTTTTAAAAAAAAAATAAAAAAAAAAATCCTTTTAATCCTTCATAATTAATTTTTGTCGAATCGTGGCTGTGCTAAAAATAAAAAGAAATAATTTATATTAATTCACAGCCATCCATCATGTATTTGTTTTTTTTCTTAATTAACCGAAGATATGAATTTTTCGGGAACATTACATCGAAGATTTGAAAAATGTTTATCTAAACTTTTCGGAAAAAAAAAAAAAATTTATAATCTCGATTCGATCAATTCGGAAGATTTATATATAGCGAAGCCTCATTTTAAAAAATCGTATTTCATACAGTTCAGAGTTCAAAAATTTATTCTAAAAATTGAACGTAACATTATCTTTTTTATTATCATCATTTTATAATTCTTCTTTCATGTTCAAGTTTTATTGAAATTTTCTGCGACACGATACCATTATTTTTTCCTCATACAATAAATTATTTAAAAAAAACGTGACAACATTGATTGTGGCAGTGTAAACTCCATTCGATAGCCTATAAATAACGGGAATGAGTACAGCCACTTCATAGCCTCATGGTTTTTATATCTCGTATAAGATAACAATATGAGTATATAGCAAATAAACTATCCTATCAGATGACTTGATTAATTGTATCAATGGCCGTAAAAAGCTCTAAATTTTGACATTTTTTTTTGTATCAAGGTAAAATTTTTCCGTGTCTTTTTGTATAGTATAATATGAATATTTGAGTTATTTTTACTGTATCTTTCTTTTTTTTAATTATAAAGCAAAATAAAAGTCCTTAGTTCTTATGGTCGATAAACTAAAGTACAATAATAATGAAAAGGTTTTTAATTATAGACGAATTACTTAATGCTATTTTGAAAATGAACGTTTATCGACTGATCCCCATTTTCTCAATTTATAAATTGAAAAGAATTCGCGAAAGGACGGATCGATGATGATATAACTAGAAGTATCGACAAATGGCTAAAACGTTATATATTTTTTAAAAAATTCATATGCTTGTTTATATTTAGAAAATACGGATTAATGTTAATGATAAGATAACAATGGTAATTTAATTTCAGATTTTGTTGAATTTGATGAGGATGATTTTTTTAAACTGATTCTAATCAGAAACATTATCACATAAATAAAATAAATAAACTTTCAACTTGAATTTAAAAAAAATCCTGATGGAAATAAATTAAATAATTTATTAAATTCTTAGCTTATTTTTAATTTATATAAATTTTATAATATATACAAAAAATTAGCAAAAATTATTTTTGTCCCTTTAATGGTTTTTTGCCTTCAAATTTAAAGGGATTTTAATATTTTATGAAAATTATATAAAAAAAAAATATTACATAATTCATCTTTTTATTTAAAATCAAAATTTAACAATTTTATATTTTAAAAATTTTTGCAAAGCAGTAAAATTACATATTTTATTAAATTTAAATATTATTAATTTTCTTACTTTTTTCCAAATTTTTAAAGATTTGATAAAAGTAGTTAATTAAGAATATACTTGTTTTATA